CCCGCCCCCTAGCGCGCTCCCGCACGCCGGCCCCCGCCCCTGCGCCTCCATTGGCGTGCTGCGCTAGGCCCCGCCCACTCTGGCCCCACCCCCTGCCGAGAAGTGCCCGGCGCGGAGGCGGGGTTTCCCCGCTCGGCCGCGCGCTCTGCGCGCGCCCGCCCGCCCGCTAAGCCCGGCCGCGCGGAGCTGCTCTGGCCCCGGGCATGTTCAGCGAGCTACCACGGGCGTCGGTCTGCAAGCACTCGGAGGCTACCTGCCAGGGATTCGGTGGCCTGTCTGTCAAATAAGGCCGGTGTGGATTCAGAGCCTGGCTGGGTCATTGTGATAGTGGGCGAACTACTTAACCTCTCTGTGCACCAATGTCCTCCCCTGTGAAAGGGAAGTACAAAGAGTGTAAAGTGCTTGGAACATCAAAGTGTGATCCAATGAGTGTGTAAGGGGACCAGGGAGGTTCAGTTCTTACCTGGCCCTTCCTTTGGGGTCTCTTGTCAAGACCGAAGAGAAAGACAGTGCCCTGTCTGGGCATCCTCAAGCCTGGAAATTTAGCCAACTGCTCGGGAGGGCCGAGCATGGACTTTGAAGCCACACAACCACATTTCCTCATTGGCCTCTTGCTGTTAAAGTGGAGATGGGAACCCAAGAACCAGGAGGCTGGAAACACTGCAGATGGTTGGCCCCAGCGCCCCTCTCTCTGGACCACACGGCAGTACCTGCATACTCTTGGCCCTGACTTGTCATGGCTGGGGCTTTATTTCTGTACTCCCTGCATTCTGAGAAACAGGTTTCCACATATGGGGCTCTGCCATCTGCTATGTCTGGTTTACCCAGCTAGTTGGGGAGACAGGCCCCTCCTGGCAAGCTGGGCTGGGTACTGCAGGCAAGGACAGCTCTGGACAGTGGCTTCCCAGAAGGCGCGCCTGCTCACTTGACTGCCCTGACTCGCCTGTTTTCCTGTGATAAGGCCAGGCAGCCTCACACAGCTTCCTGCAAAGGCAGGCAGGCACGGGCAGGGGGTGGGGTGGGGCAAGTGGGGTGGTTTCCACCTTCAGGATAATTTACTGACGCCACTGATTTGGGGAATAACAGCCAGGCAGGAGGGAGGTCACATTCCGCATCCCTAAAGGGCATAGTTTCTGGTTCCTTTTATCAGCTGGACCGCACAGCCACAGACCCCTTTCTTCTCCCAAGTCCCATGCCCCCAGCACCAGGATGAGAAGCCTACCAGGGTCCCCATGTGGAAACTGAAAGGGTATCTCGCCGCTACCCTCCTTACCCAGAATGACTCAGGAGACACGGGCCCACGCAAGAGACTTTATTATCTGAAGGAGAGAGTGGCTGCCCCAGAGGGAGGGGGTGGGGAGAGAGAGAGAGAGAGAGAGAGAGAGCAGGGAGACAGAGACAAACAGAGCAGCGAGACAGACAGAAAGGGGGCAGCAGCGTGGTGCCTTTTATTGTGGTGAATCTGCTCGGGCGGTTGCCTTGGGGGAGGGTCAGGATGTTTAGAAATAAGGTGGGGTAAACCCAGCAAAGCCCCAGGCAAGCCCAGGCATAATTCTCACCTGCTTATGTGCTTGGGACCATGGGGCAAAAGGAGGATAAATTATATATTCTTACATTCCTCCCTTTTCTGTTTTATAAGTGGTAGAGGATTGGGAAGGGGTGAAGGTTAGTCTTCAGTAACTGCTTCTTGCTGATCAGGGGCGATGAAGTTTATTTTTGTATTGATGAGCCCTTGGTCTGCAGTGGCGATGGCGTGTTCCAGTATCAATAAGGATCATCGTCTTTGGAGAGGGGTTGGTCATCCTGTAATATAAGCTGGTTAAAGGTTTGGTTAGAAATTTTTTGCATTTGGGCTGATTGCTATGTTTATATAGGGTGGCTGAATTAATAGCATTTTTGGGGACATATGCGTAGGCAGCAAAGCAACCGGTAGGGCAAAGGGAATCCTTGATGGTGCAATCTTTTGGACAGTCTGAAAGAGAAAGGCTGGTGTTGGGAAGATAGGTCTGGTGAGAGAGTAAGTGTTGAGACCAGGGTTAACAGTCCTGAGGCATGACGCATGGCTGTTGTAAGGGAGGTCTTAGGACTCTGCTGGCAGAAGCTTCTTCAGTGATTAGTGGAAGTGGAGATGAGTGCTGCAAAATGCAGAGTAAGAGGTCCTGTCAGGGTGGAGTAGGAACATGTGGAAGATTTGGTGGGAGGGGAATAAGATGAGACAAATGGCTTAAAGTGGGAGTTGTGTATCCAATGGGGAAGACCTTGGAGTTTAACTGCAGTTGGCGTGGAAAGGATTACTGTGTATGGTCTTTGCCATTTGGGAATTAGGGATGGTGTCTTTGTTGTTTGGAACGGGCATGGTTTGGAGAAGTTTTTTCCTGTCTATGGTAATGGCCTTGTAGCGCGGGGAGAGCTGAACTCCCAGGTATGTGACCTGAGCGGCAGACAGCTGAACTTGGAGGGTGAAACTCCATAACTGTTCTGAGAGAAAGTTTAAAAGGAAAATAGTATCCTGTTGAGAGGTTTGTAGGGAGGGACTGCACGGGAGGAGATCATCCACATATTGAAGAAGGGTGGAGCTCGAGAGAGTAAGGGATTTGAGGTCTTGTGCTAGAGCCTGTCCAAAAAGGTGGGGACTATCCCTAAAGCCTTGGGGAAGGACTTAAGTGGTCTCTGAATATTAAAAATTAACTTAACATAAGGAATTTCCTGCCTTGATTTTTCTCTGGAATACCGGCGCCTTGGTCTGGAAGCATATCAAAAGGCTGCCTGCTCAGCTCCCAAGGTGGGCTGAGGTATTGTCTAAAGAATCCTGCCTTTTACTATGCCATCTACAGCTGGGTCTGCATGCTAAGTTAGTTGCTCAGTTTGCAAAATTACCTCCTCAGATCTGAAGGAGGAAAGACAGCACATAGGCCTGGGCCTTTTAGTATGCTAAAGTGAATCTTATATATGATTACAAATGATTAGCATAATAAAACATGTGCTACTCTTTATCTGGGGAACATTAACTAATCTCACGGAAGAATGATTCTAGAGCTTAATGTTCAACATAGTTTTAGTGGAAGGGGGGCGGTTTCCTAGCATGTAGTTTTACATTGCTCTGACTGCAAATATCCTGCCTTGCTTTCTCCAGAAGCTCTCACCTTATTCTGTCTAAGCCTATGATCCCTGTCTCATTCTCCCCTCTTCAGATAGAGACTCTAGCTGCTGCTAGGGAAAAGGGGCGACGACTGCTCTGGCTGCTTCGTGCTGAGAGGGGGCGCAGTAAAGGGTGCAGCTAGGTCTCCATCACTGGTCAGTTGAGAGGGCCTTCTATTCCGGGTTTCATTTCTATTATTATTTGCAGTTTTGTGGCTTCTAGGCAAGATAGAACAAATTGTTATCAGGTTAAGTAGCAACATCTGGAGTTGGATTTTCCATTCTGGAAGGACAAACTTGACGAGATTAAGAATGCATGGCTGAATATGAGAACTAGAAATATGAAGAGTCTAATTGAGAATCACAGCCAGGTATCATGGGGAAACTAGAATGTTGGATCGAGTTTACATCTCAATGACTAGTATTAAGATTTAGTATAGATAGCATTATTGAAACAATACTTTTCTCTAAAATCACCCTCATTTTTATTAGAAGTATCCAGATTAAGAAAATAATTAGCAGTTGGCTTGATTATTTGCATAAGTGCAGCAAGAAAGTAATTGATTACATGGGATCTTTTAAATGTGCTTTGCTGGAACTTTTTGCAAGGAATTTCAGATTGAACTTTTAAGGGCTTCTTGAGGCCAGAAAGCCAAGCCAGACTTGCCATCAGCTTGTGCCTGAAGTACCTGTAGATTTGGGTGAATTTCTCTCTTCCTGAGGTTCCTACACCGGCCAGGAAGTGACCTTCCTTACTCACCTGGTCAGGCTGCTGGGAACTCTGTAAGCAAGGTACCAGGCCAGTTCTTCCACGGGGCTTTGTTGGCTTTATAAAGTCAATCTTAGTTCTTTAAAGCTGTCTGTTCATATCTGAGTTTACACACGTGTCTCTCAGGTATGACATTCCAGTCAAAGCCTTGGTAATATAACCAGTGTTTTTAATTAGTCCTCTTACAAGGAAAGCAGATTCTTATTGAACTTATGCAAATAAACATACTGCCATGAAATATATAGTCACTGAGAGTTTTTAAATTCTGGAGGGATCAGGTAGAGAGAAAGATAAAGTTTCAATTCTGCTTATAAAGGCAGTCATTTACTAGACTGTTGTCAGCTTAAGAGAAAAAGCTTAAAACACTTTATCAACATTTGAAACAAAAAGCCACAAAATTATCTTCCTTAGTTTACTTAATCCTATGTAACTAATACCTGTTTTGCTGAAATCTAGTTTTTTACTAGTTTAGGAGTAATGAAACAGTGAGTATAGATGACAAAAGACTTACAAATGACAATGGTTAAAGATCTGATGAGAGCTTACCTTAAGACAGTTGTCAAGGAAGTTTGGATATTTCTGTAACAGAAAACATTCAGTAACAAAGTTTAGCATCATTCTCTGTGATAGTGCCTTCCAGGTAATTAAGCAGGTAAATAAGCCAAATTAGCCAAATACTTTCTCCAATGAGAAAAAATTCCTCTGACATGTTCCAGGGGCCCTCTGGAACATATCAGTTAACTAGAGGTAAAAAGCACTTTTTTGAATTTGATTTTGGGAAACTGTTAAAAGTTTTAAGGCACTTGCTTAAATAGTTACTCACATTAGACAAAGCTACACTTCACTTTAAGCATTTTTCTTTGAAAGATTTAACGGATACCATCAACTTAAATGACTTTAGGTAAACTTAGGCAGCTGATAACCATAAGGACATGTCTATTCAGTTCAACTTAAATTAGCATTAATGCTTAATATCTTCTATTAGAATTTTCTGGAAATTTTAGAATGTCCAATGCGCTTGTCTTTAAATAAATTTTTATTAAGACCGTCCGGAGGTAGAAAAATATTTTTCATTACACACTTAGACACAAACATACAGATTGAGACGTAATGATACAGTGAGAGGACAGACAGAGCTCCTGGCATGAGCCAGGAGGGGACAAGAGAGCCTGTGGTGGTGCATTGTCTGTAGGAGTTTTATAGGCAGTTGAGGATATTTAGGAACATGAAAAAAGCTTAGGGGTGTGGACTTTAAGGCAAGTAGTAGGTGTTTAGGATTGCAAGGGAGACAGAGAGAGCTTGGTTCGGACGTAGGAGAAAGCCTGGATATATGGGATCTCTTTCCATTTGCCCATACGCTCACAGAAGTTGTACAAGTCGTGGAGAATTTTAGGATCTAAAGAGCCATTTGGAGGCCATTTAGACTGATTGTCCAAGGAGTATTGTGGCCAGATCTCATTACAGTAGTGAACAGGTTTGAGGTCTGGAGTGAGGTGGAGGGGCTTTAGATATTTGAGTAAGCACCCTAGAGGTGAATCTGCAGGAATGGAGGGGCCAGATCTCGTGGTGAGAACGAGACCATTCAGAAGTCACTGAGGCATCCCTGAGCGATTGAGAAGGTCGCAGAGAAGACCAGGCACAGTTAGGGTCTAAGTGTGGAGTCGAGGCGAAAACGCCAGGGAGGCTCGGTACCTGGTACCAGGAGTTTTCGAGTCGAGTAGAAACATAGAAAAAGGGAGACCGGGCCTCAGTGGATGAGGATTCTCACCATGGGGAGGCAGAGAAGGGTCAATTATGGGGATCAACCGTGACTCTGAAAGTCGTGGTTTGGGGTGCTCCTGTCCCAGAGGAACCCTTGGGGGTGCCGGACACTCAACGGTCACTTCCCAGGTGCCAAAGGGACATTTAAGTTGACCATGAAGGGGAGACTCACCAAATCGAAGGTCGGTGTTGGGCGAGAAGACGAGCAACCGGGGAAGTGGACGGTGAGCCCGTGGAGGAGGATCGGGCAGTGAGGGTTCCCAGAGCAGCTCAGGTTCCCAGAGGATGAGCAAAGTCAATGGGAGAGCTTCATCTGAAGTCACGGCACCAATGAAAGGGTATCTCGCCGCGACCCTCCTTACCCAGAATGACTCAGGAGACAAGGGCCCATGCAGGAGCTTATCTGAAGGAGAGAGTGGCTGCCCCAGAGGGAGGGGGTGGGGAGAGAGGGAGAGAGAGGGAGAGAGAGAGAGAGAGAGAGAGAGAGAGAGAGAGAGCGCAGCGGGACAGAGAGGGCAGAGAGCAGAGAGAGAGCAGGGAGAGCAGGGGGACAGAGACAGAGACAAAGAGAGCAGTGAGACAGACAGACACACAGAGACAGCGGGGGGGCGGGGGCAGCAGCGTGGTGCCTTTTATTGTGGTGAATCTGCTCGGCCTCTTGCCTTGGGGGAGGGTCGGGATGTTTAGAGATAAGGTGGGGTAAGCCCAGCAAGCCCCAGGCAAGCCCAGGCATAATTCTCACCGGCTTATGTGCTTGGGGCCATGGGGCAAAAGGAGGATAAATTATATATTCTTACAGAGACCTGAGGTCCATGAGCTCGTCTTCATGTTTCCAGAAGCCTCACAAAGTTGTGGCTTTTCCTCTGATAAGGCCAGAAAGCCAGACCCAAACATATGAAAACTCACACATACTGGGTTGAACTGTGTCCCTTCAAAAGATATGTCCAAGTCCTAACCCCTGGTGTCTGTGACTGTGATCTTATCTTGAAACAGGGTCATTGCAGATGTGACTAATTTAAAGTCAGACTAGATCAAGGAGGGCCCCGAACCTATGACCATGCCCTTAGAAAAGGGGAAATTTGGACACACTGACACAGAGATACAGAGACACAGGGGAGAGTGCCATATGAAGACAGAGGCAGAGATGGGGGTACTACACCCATGGACCAAGGAAGCCCAAGTGCTGGAGCCCCCAGCCACTAGGAGAGGCCTGGAGCAGATCCTCCCTGAAGCCTCAGAAGGAACCACCTGCTGATATCCTAGTCTCAGACTTTGGCCTACACAACTAGAAGACAGTGAATTCCTGCTGTTTTAAGCCTCCACCTGCCCACCCCCACCCCCTCCCCCCTCTCCCAGCTGTGTGTGGTGCTTTGTTACAGCAGCCACAGGGCACTCATACATCCTGCTGTTTCAGAGCTTCTGGTTGGCAGGCTTTCTGCATTTCTGGCACAAAATGGCAAAGGAGCTGGTCATTGATTAATGCTTGCAATGTGAAACCTTTTCCTAAAGGGTCCACGGAGGAAGATAGATAAAGGGGATCCAGGGTGAAGAAAAGTAGCAGCCTGCAACATACAGTTCTGGAAAAGCACCCAAGAGCCCCAGACTGACTGCTGTTCACGGCTTGGGTGTTGCAGAGAAAATTCCCATGACTCTGAAATGCCCCTGGGGAAACCATGATTTCCTGGGGGTCAAGTAGGATCCAGGAGCTCTGATGTCCCAACACTTGCAGCTATGTGATCTCAGGGAAGTATCTTCACTCCTGTCCCCAGTCTGCACAATAGGGTTCTCACAGCCCAGCAGCCAGGATGGCCAAAGTGAGGGACTGCACGCCAGGTGGATGGGCAGGGTGCAAGGAAGTCCTCCTCTGCTCTGCCCTCCTTTGGCCTGGAGGCACTGGCTGGAGCTGGGTTCATTCTTCCTGCCCATCATGGCTGACTATGGCAGGAGGCTGGACCAGCCCTGCCTACAGAGGAAGTGACAGGTCCAGGCCTGCCACTGCTCAGGAGGTGCAAGAATGGCCACCGTGTCAGGGAATCAGGATGCAAATCTCTCACTGTCAGCCACAGAGTGGATGACCTGAAATAGGGCTAGTGGCCCAAGAAGTCGGGACTGGGTCTGCAATGCTGCATGCCACTGACTGGGGGCCAAGGGACATGCCTCTGTGACTCAGCGGTGACTCATAAGGAGGCAGCAGAACGGAAACCACTAGTCCACCCCCCAGCTAAGGAAGCAGCCCCTGGAGGCGATAAGGAGCTACAGCATTGCATCCCCTCCACTATGGGGACCCAAGCTGGGGACCTGGAAAGCCCTGAGCCACGGATCTCCTCTGGCCCCATCCCAGTTCCCACATCACAGAGCAGGTGGTGAAGGGGTGTTCAAGGCCCAGGAATAAAGAAGCTTGCCCCTAATACACATCTGAGTGGCAGACAGTAGGGCCTCAGTTTTCTTTATTTGAAATGGAACTAAAAGTTGTTCCATGTCCTGGGAGGCTGTGGACACCCAGGGCACACGCCCGACTTCCATGAGTGCTCCGTCTCTGAGCACCAGTCTTGCTGTCACCCGGGTCTCCTGTGCTTCAAAGCCTAGAACTTTTTCTTTCTTCTTTTTTAAGTTAATCATCCAAACTCCAAGTCACAGAGCCTCTGGGAGCCTCAGCCTTTCAAGGCCAAACGGAGAGAATCATACTCAGCTCATAGGAATGTGAGATGTATGTAAAATAACATGTTATCGCAGCACCCTTCACAGACGCCAAGAGCTGAAAAGCCCCAAATGCCCACCAGCCGATGAACAGATAAAGAAAATGGGGCACCACCACACAGTGGAATATTACCCCGCCACAAAAAGGAAGGTAGTGCTGATTTATGCTACAACATGGATGAACCTCAAAAACATGCTGAGTGGACGAAGCCACAAAAGGTCACATGTTGTTTGATTCTGTTTATATGAAATGGCCAGACTAGGCAAATCCATAGAGACAGAGGGTGGATTTGCTGTTGCCAAAAGCTGGGGGGCCGGAGAATGGGGAGGGAGTGTTCTGGGCATGGTGTTTCCTCTCTTGGTTTAGGAACCAGACAGGGGTGATGGTAGCATAGTGCTGTGAAAATGCTATATGCCACTGAACTGTACACTTAAAATCGGTTAAAATAGTTATGTGTGTTTCACACATACAGCATATGATGGCATGTGAGAGGGCCTCTCTTCCCTTCTTCCAGGGAAGTAGTTTGTGAGCAAAGAATGAGGATGAGAAAGCTGCTTGGCAGCATCTGGTAGAAACATCTGGAATGGAGTGTCTGTGTCCCAGGCCAGGAAGGTGGCTGGGTTGAGGCTCCTCAATGGCTGTCCCAAGACCTGTGGGCGCCGGAAGAAAAGCCAGGCAAGGGCTGGGGCCCCAGACACTGGGGCGGAAGCCAAAACAATGGAATCCCCTGCATTTGGACTCCTTCCAAAGAGGCTCACATTTTCCGTGGAGAAGGCATTCATGGGAACTGGCAGAGAGGCCGGGTTTCCCTGGCTCCCACTGAAATGTGACACCCTGGCCACACAGCCAGCCCAGAGCCTGGCTCACCACAGACAGCTGGCTCATGGTCCATGGGAGCGCTGCTTGCAAGCTGGCCTCAGTGGATTTGGCCCTTGGAGGCTGGGAGACACGCCAGCTAGTGTGGTCCTTGAGAGGCCCACAGAGTGAGCCGAACACAGATGCAGCCGGGGCGAGGATGTGAGCACCCGTCACTCATCTGGAGTCACCTAGCCAGCAGCATGGCCCGTCGAGAGAGCCCCTGGGAAGCAGGACAGCAGCAGGGATGGCCTCCGAGCGGCCAAGGGTACTATCCCAACTCCCAGCACATGAGCATCGCCTCCGGCTCGGAGCTTCCTCACTCTCACCTGACAAGCACTACTGACAAGGACCCTGGGTCCTAAGCCCGGGGCAGATCAAAAGCAGTACCCGGAGGGAGGCAGCCCAGGCTGAGGAGAAAGGAGACCGGTACCAGATAGAAAGGAGTCACAGAGACCCCCTCCCCAGGGTGTGGCAGTGTCCGCAGGCCCCTCGCCCCACCTGTCGACCCAGCCCAGCCTAGCAGCTGGTTTTGCTGCAATGAGCACATGCCAAGAGTCATGGGACAGCCTCATCTTGGGCTTTGCCCAGCAACCGCGAGCTCTTTGGGAACCCACATCACCTCCAAGGCCTCATTGCTCACTAAGTCCAGCCTCCCCATCTGACAGCTGGGCAACTGAGGCTCCAAACGTACCCAGCAGCTTAAGAAAGCGGGGTGTCATATCAGTGCACATTCACAGACACCCCAGCCCTGAGGGTGCAGTCTGTGGGGGAAGCCGGAGGCAGGATCCCACCCTTACTGTGGGGTACCTGGATAGTGAATAACTTACCTAACCCAAACGGAGGCCTGGCCCTTGCTCCTGGCTTCAGGGAGAAATATGGTGTGTCTGGTGGGCGGGTCTCTGTTTAGGGTGGGGCAGCCGCGCAGGAGGACCAGCCTCCGGACTTAGGGTGGGGTCTCTGGGTAATGCAGCACCAGTTGAGCCAGTAACCAGTGGGAGGTCAACGAGTCAGTCATGCCTTCATAATGGAACCCAAATAGAATCTCTGGACACCAAGCCTGGGGGCACCCCAGGTTGGTGACAGTCCATGCGTTTTGTTGCACTTTGACGTGGGAGGGTCATAGGCTGAGGACAACACAGCCCTCTCATAGGGAAGCCCCCAAACCACCCTCTGCATCTCTCCCTTCGGCTGATTTTAATCTGTATCCCTTGCTGTAACAAACTGACCTGTGATCTGCTGTCAGTGAGTTCCAAGAATCCTTCTAGCACATTACCAAAGCTCAGGGAGGTTTTGGGAACTTGAGACTGGTGCCAGAGGTGAGGCAGTCTTGGGGACATGGCTGCAGACCTTCGGCCAGCTCAGAGTAGTTGCTCTCTCCAGCCTGGAGCCTCACTTCATCCTCAGATGAGACAGATGACCGCCATCCCCACTTTACAAGGAGAGACAAGGGCTCAGGGAATTAGGTGTGGAGACAAGATGGAAGCCCATCTTTTAAAATTTCTGGTCCAATTCTCTCTCCAGGACAGCCCACCAAGTGATGTGTTTTTAAAAGGCCGATGTTATCAGTCATCTATTGCTGCATCGTGAACCACCCTGAATGTAGGGGTTCAGAACCATTACCACCATGTTGGCCTGTGGCTCTGGGGGTCACTGGCTTGGGCTCTGCTGTCAGCCAGAGCCCCCACGTGCCCACAGGCAGAGGGCAACTCTACTGGGCTGGGTGGCTGGGGCTGAGGCCAACTCAGGCTTCTCTACCTGTGCCTC